CGTCATCACCATACTCATCATTGTCATCATTATGACCATCATCATCAGATCACATCATCATCATCATCACCAGCATGAACATTATTATCATCCTCTTGTTTCCGCCTTAGCATCATAATCATGATCATCACCACCATCATCAACATCAACATCATCACCATCTCATCATCAGTATCATCATCGCTATTACCATCATCATATTATGAGTATCATCATCACCATCATCATCATCAGCATCATCATTGTTCGCGTCATGGTTAATGGGTTTGCTAGCAAATTGCTTGGCAGCTTGGCAACTCTTCTGTTTGTCTGGTTCTGTGGTTGGCTTGTTGGCTGGCTGGCTCGCTGGCTGGCTGGTTAGCAGGCTGGCTGTCTGATTGGATGGCTGGCTGTGTCGCTGGCGGGTTCGAGAAGAAGGGAAACACATCAAATGAAGGAGTAGGACCAGGGGCGTGGTCTATGAGTCTATGAGTGGTCGCGGCCGCGCACGCGCGGAACCATCGTTTTTTTGTTCAAGCACTGTGGCCTTGGAAGCGCGGACCAGGAGTACACTTGCGGTCATTCCTCGTTTTTTTTTACGACGGGTCTTGCCTCGGGAGCGCGGACCGGCTGCCCAGTGCAATGATCGCGGCGCTCAGAGCGCGGATCATTCTTGTCGTGAGGGAATGCGCAGGTGGGAACGGGCCCGTTACGGGTCGAGAGAGGTCGCGCGCGTGTGTAGAGATTGAGGGTTGGAGCAATCCAGAGAAACTGAGAAAGGTAGTGTTCTGGAGGCCTGATTCAGAGAGTTCAGCAGGAGGCACGGTTGTCGAAGTGGCGACCTTCTGAGAATTCTGCACCCTGGCCAACTGCTCCGCCGTGCTGATGAAAGAAATTGTTCGTCTGCTGATGCCTCACCCGCGCAGGCGGGTAAGCCCCGAGACTGGGGCCAACTGATATGGCCCAACCCCTAGCATCATTTGAATCATCAGTGTTGTCGCCACACAGTGTCGCCATGAGTGACGATCACCGTGCACGCTCATAACCCAGCATTGCCGTCCTATGACCACCATCGTGACAGCAGGATTCACCACCGCCGTCGTGGGCGAGCCGTTACTCACCACCGACCAAACAACCCAACCCGAAGGCCCCAACTAGCCCTCCATTCTCAGCGGGGGGGGTCCGGCGAACATAGAAAAAACACATAGGAAACCCGTACCCCCCCCAACCCGGACCTCGGGTCTTCGGGGTGGGTTGGGGTGGTATGGTAGCTTCAGTGCAGGAAGTTTTTTGTTTTTTTGTTTTTGCGTCGGCGGCTGGGCAGAGGGTGACTGCTCCGGCGATCAGGCATCAGGGGGGCGCACGAGATGCAAATTCGGCCGCAATGCACGAGGAGGAGGAACCCCCGGCGCGACGGGGAGAGGAGAAGCTGGGCCCGCTCATTCAAGTTACCAGCTGCGGCGGGAGGAGCGCCGAGGGGGGGGAACCAGCCGCGGCGCCAGGCAGCAGCTGCGGGGGGACCGGCAGCCCAGCGGCGGCCACGGTGCATTAGCATCACGCTCGCTTGCGCACTCCGAACAGTGCAGTGAGCCCACTCCCTGCCGCCCCCCGCCCGCCAGCCTGTCCTGGTGCCCCACCCCGTTCGCCACGAGCTGGCTCCTCGAGAAACGATTCTGCCCCCCCCCCCCCCCCCGTCCCCCCCTCCCCCCTCCCCCCCCACGCCCCGCGCAGCACCGGCCCAGTCTGAAATCGGGCCTGTCCCTCTACAGAGGGAATATTCAAAAATAGCTTTAAATATTGGTATGTAGGAGTATTTTTGGTGTATTTATATTGCGTGACTTTTTTATTTTTCGTCCAAGATCCGCATGTAGGGGGACACGCCCGACCTAAGCCCAGTCTCAGTACCTCCCACTCGGGTGCTGCTGGAAGTGCCCCTGGCCCAGGGTGCCCCCAGGACTTCCCAAGGAGGCAGCCACGGCCTCCAGAGCACCCCCTCACGAGGCCAAGAAGGCCCCAGGGGCTCCAAAATTGATCGAAGAAGCAAACGCCATAAGCATAAACTGTTGGCGCTCCGCGCGGGTTTCTTGGATCCGCGCGCGCTGGCGTCTCCCGTGGCGTCGTCGATCCTCGACCCGTGAACGGTGCTCCCCCGAGGCCGAGAAAGCACAGTGGAGGCCCATGCCAAGAAACGCCTTGCTTGCCTCCAGGGTGCCCTGGGTTTCTTGGGTTTCGATGGTTTTGCTGTGAAGCGCGTGACGCTCCCACGCCGAAAATCAAGGGACGTCCTGGGGTCTCAGGGCTGGGTTTCTTGTGGAAGGTTTCTCGTGGACTGGCCCACACTGTACGGTGCATGGGCACCGTTCTCGTTCCTTGAACACCCCTGGGATACATTACCCCTGCCACGACCGAGCGCCGCCTGAAGCCAGGTCGCCCCGCAGCGGCGCGGCGCTGATCGCGCCTCGTGGTGCGTCAGTGTGGTCCAGAAGGTTACCTTGTCGGGTCTCTCCAAAGGAGGAGTCGCGCCAATGCAGAAAGAGGATGGCGCCTCGGGCGGCGCGGCGCGGCCTCCTACAGCCGGGCCGCGGAGAAGGCACCCTTTCGTTGGGGAGGGGCTCAGTGCCTCTTAATCGTTTTACCGTTTTTCTCTGGTTTTAGGTTTTCTCTGGGGCATCGAAGTTGAACTTATAAAAAGGGGCCTCGTTCCTCATTTAGGGTTCCTATGACAGCGTTTCGACTGTACTCCTCCTCTTTGACTATATGTGATGGCTCTTCGCGGTCGGGGGGGGGCCGCTCGGGGATGGCCCTGGCAAGCAGACCCCGCCCTCCAAGATCAAGAGCTGCTCGAGCAGGTCGGCCATCTTCGAGCCCATGGGGGTGTCCCGATGGAACGCCATGGGGATCGCGGCCTCCTGTGGGCTGTTGTCCGTCTTGCGGAGGGTCTCCACACGGAAGAGCGGGCAAGATTATGTGGATTCCCAAAGTTCCAATCCAGTTCTCCTCCTTCCCTTCGGCGCACTCGGCATCCACCGTTCCACGGCCATCTCGATGTGGTGTTGGCGGCCCGACGGCGGTTCGGGCCCGCTTCGCGCGTCGCGAACCGCGGAGTCGGGCGACCTCGTCGTTCAGCCGCCGAGAGGCACGGCGGCTGACGATGATGATGAAGATGACGATGATGATGACGACGACGTGGATGATGATGACGACGATGTTGCTTCTGATGGTGATGATGACGACGAATACGGTGACGATGATAACGATAATGATGATGATGATGATGTTGATGATGATGGTGGTGGTGAGCATACTGATAGCGACGATGTTAATGATGATGCTGGTGATGCTGATGATGACGATGACGATGATGACGACGATATTTATGATGATGATGATGATGATGGTGATGATGGTGATGATGATGATGATGATGATGATGATGATGATAACGATGTTGCTTCTGATGATGTGGATGCTGATGATGATGCTGATGACGACGACGATGATGACGGTGGTGCTGATGTCGATGAAGATGATATCGACGATTATGATGCTGTTGATGATGGTGAGGATGTTGATGATGCTGATGATGATGCTGGTGGTGATGATGACGATGACGATGGCGATGACGCTGATGATGACACCGCGGATGACGATGATCCTGCTGCTGATGATGACGATGATGATGACGATGTCGCTGCTGCTGCTGAAGATGATGATGATGCTGCTGATGCTGATGTGGATGATGACGATGCTGATGATGATACAGAGGATGCTGATGATGACGATGCTGCTGATGATGATGCTGATGATGCTGACGATGGTGATGTTGATGGTGATGATGATGATGCTGCTGCTGATGATGATGATGATGATGATGCTGATGCTGCTGCTGATGATGATGATGTTGATGATGGATAGTATGATGCTGCTGATGCTGATTATGATGATGCTGTTACTGATGCTGATGCTGCTGTTGATGATGCTGCTGATGCTGATGCTGTTGCTAATCATGATGCTGATGATGATGCTCATGCTGATGATACTGCTTATACTGCTGAAGAGTATGATGCTGCTGACGATGATGCTTATGCTGATGCTGATGCTGATGCTGATGCGGATGCTGATGTTGATGAGGATGGTGATGGTGGTGATGATACTGCTGCTGCTGCTACTGCTGATGATGATGATGATGATGCTGATGATGATGATGATGATGATGATGATGATGATGATGATGATGATGATGATGATGATGATGATGATGATGATCATGATGATGACGATGACGATGACGATGGATTTGACGATCATGATGCTGCTAGTGATGATGGTGGTGTCTGTGATGGTGGTGATGATGATGAGGTGGAGGTGGAGAGGGAAGAGGAGGAGGAGGAGGAGGGAGGAGGAGGAGGAGGAGGAGGAGGAGGGAGGAGGAGGAGGAGGAGGAGGAGGAGTAGGCTGATGTCATCGCCATCGTCATCGTCATCGGTGTCACGCCATGTCAGCCTGGGCCTACGCTCTCGGCGGCCTCACTCCCATCCTCGAAGCCGCTGGCGGTTGCGGTTCTCATCTCCCCGAAGGGCACGTCAGTTGGGCGGTGCGCTGGGTTGGCCTGGGTGTGCGCTCTCAGCGCCCTATGGGGGGGGAGGAGCGGAGGAAGAGGATGAGAAAGAGGACGAGGAGGAGGGGCGGAGGAAGAGGAGGAGAAAGAGCACGAAGAGGAGGAGGAGGAGGAGGAGGTGGAGGAGGAGGAGGAGGAAGAGGAGGAGGATCAGAAGAAGGAGCAGGAGGCGGAGGAGGAGGATGAGGATGAGGAGGATGGAGGATTAAGAAGAGGAGGAGGAGGAGTAGGAGAGGAGGAGGACGAGGAGGATGGAGGATGAAGAGGAGGAGAGGAGGATTGAGGAGCGAGGAGGAGAGGAGGAGGAGGAGGAGGAGGAGGAGGAGGAGGAGGAGAGGAAGAGGCCGAGGAGGAGGTGGAGCAAGGGGATTGGGGGGAGGAGCCTCTCCTACTGTCTTGGGAGGCACGTCGGGGCAGCGGCGTACTCGACGGGGACTTCATCATTCACTCGCGGTACTGCCAGCACCTCGAGCCCCTGAGCCTGTTCTTTGTGCTGGTGGGCATCGCTGCGGGCGTGGGCTTCATCGCGTTGCTCATCCGCGGCGACTACTATTGGGACAGGTTCTGGGAGAAGAATGCCGAGGTCCCTGCGGAGGACGATGACTCGACTCGACGACGATGACGACGACGAGGACGATGCCAATGGCGATGACGATGGCGATGACGACCACGATGGCGATGACGATGGCGATGGCGATAGAGATGACGATGACGATGGCGGTGAAGGGCCCACCGACTCGATGTCGAAACCGTCCGGCCTGATCCGATTCGATTCCGATATTCCGACAGTCCGACGTGGCCCGATGCTTACATCCTGTCGCGGCAAATCCGATCCGATTATGACTCCTTCCGATGCGGCCCGATCCAACGCACATACCGATTCGATTTGGTTTTCCGCTTTGGTGTTGGCTGGTCCTGCGATTGCGATGGCGGCGACGATTTCAAAGACGGCATCCCTGCGGAGGACCGTGACGATGATTCGATGGCGGTCGAAAATGACGATGGCGATGGCGATCATCCGATGACGATACGACGATGGCGGTTGCGACGTCTCGATGACGATAGCGATGCCGATGACGACGGCTCGATGACGATGACGATAGCAACGACGAGGAATCGATGACGATAGCGATTACGATATCGGTGATGATATTCGATGGCGATGGCGGTGACAATAACGACGGCTCGATGACGACGGCTCGATGACGATGGCTCGATGACGATGGCTCGACGGCGATGGCGACGACCGTGACGAGGGCTCGACGACGGCGACGACAGCGATGACTTGATGGCTCGACGGCGACGGCGATGGCGAGGTCCCCGCGGAGGACCTGCTCCGGGACCGCGAGGGCCGCCACCGCGAGCACGAGGCCGAGCGGCCCGAGGCCTCCACCAGCGGCGACGAGGGCTCCAGCAGCAGCGGTGGGGCCGCCTGCTGAGCGGCGCCCGCGCCACCGCCCGGGCCCGCGGCAGAGGCCCGCGCCGCGGATCGGCGAGGCCGGAACAAGTACGGAAGGGACGGGGTGGGCACGGATCGGAGAGGGCACGATGGGGAGGGGTACTCCGGGTGGGATGCTGATCGAGGGGTGGGCGACTAACCCTCCGACGGAGCTTGCCCATCCCTCCTCCACCTCCTCCACCTCCTCCTCCTCCTCCTCCTCCCCCTCCCCCTCCCTTCTCCTCCTCCTCCTCCTGCTCCTCCTCTTCCTCCTCCTCCTCTCTTACCTCCCCCTCCCCCTCCTTCTCCTCCTCCTCCAACCCCCCCCCCACCCGTTCCGACAGCACGTGCCCAACCCCTCCAGCGGATCCGAGGGGGGCGATTATTGTCCCATCCAGAGTATGGAACGGACGGAATGTGCCCGCGGCAGAGGCCCGCGCCGCGGATCGGCGAGGCCGGAACGGGTACGGAAGGGACGGGGTGGGCACGGATCGGAGAGGGCACGATGGGGAGGGGTACTCCGGGTGGGATGCTGATCGAGGGGTGGGCGACTAACCCTCCGACGGAGCTTGCCCATCCCCCCCTGATCGAGGGGTGGGCTGACTAACCCTCCGACCCTCCCTCCTCCTCCTCCTCCTCCTCTTCGTCCTCCTCCCCCTCCTAGCCGCCTCCTCACCTCCTCCTCCTGCCCCCTCCTCCTCCTCCTCCTCCTCCTCCCTCCCCCTCCTTCTCCTCCTCCTCCTCCTCCTCCTGCTCCTCCTCCTCCTCCTCCTCCTCTTCCTCCCCCTCCCCCTCCTTCTCCTCCTCCTCCAACCCCCCCCCCACCCGTTCCGACAGCACGTGCCCAACCCCTCCAGCGGATCCGAGGGGGGCGATTATTGCCCCATCCAGAGTATGGAACGGACGGAATGGGCACGGATCGGAAAGGGCACAATCGGTATGGGTACGGTCGGAACGAGTGCACGGATCGGTACGGGCGGCCTTCTACCCAGATCCATCGGAACCCTCTAAACAGCTCAACTTAGAGACCCCGTCCCAAATCAAACCACCCCTCTTTTATCATGAAATCCGGGGTGCGGACCGAACGGTTGTGAAGAACGTCCTGGGCCCGTCTGGGCGCCTTGGGGGCAACGTCAGGGCAACGTTGGGAGAAACTTCAGGTTTTCTGTGTAGTTTCGGTCGTTTCCGTCTGTGCCTGGAGGTTCTCCAGCTTCGGGGTGCTCTCCAGCAGCTGCGCCTCGTTGAGAACGTTCGTGCCCCACTCGGCCACTTGCCCCGAACGGCCGCCGGGGAGCTGGGTTATGACCCGAAGACCAAGGGGCAACGTGAGGATCCATCGCGCCGCGGATCATCGGTGCGACGGAATGGGTACAGAACGAATGGGAAGGAAGACCGATCGAAGTTCTTGTCCATTTTGAACAAGGGTCGCTGTCGGTGTCGCCGCGGACGTTCCCCGTTTGAGGCAGAAGGTCGCTTTCCAACAGCTGCCGCCGTTGGCTTTGGACAGCAGTTGCTCGTGAGTGCTGTGTCTATTGTTTCCAGTGCCCACTCTGAGCGTGCCAAGCGGATCGGTTTGTCGCTACGGAACCCGCTGTGTGGTGTAGATCGAAGAAGGATCAAATATGACATAATCATAAGCTCTCGTAGCCTTGCGCGGATGGATTGGATCGGCGCAAGGTCTCCCTGGCGGCGCCTCTGGCGCCGACCCTTGCGCGCTCCGCGCGCCAGTGAGGGGGGATCCAGCTCCGATCCAAGACATCTGAGCGAAGCTCCAGGAGTTTACGCTCATTCATTTCTTTCCCTTTCCGTTCTATGAATGCCCGGGCCCGCGTTCTCCTCCGCTCGGCCCCTCCTGTTTCGCACGTCCTCGGCGGCACGCTTCGAGAGGCAACCACAGAGGCATTTGGCTTGCTCAGCGCTATCGTCATGGGGCGGGGTACATTTTTAGTGGCAGCGCGAGTCGTTTCATTGTGCCGGCTTGGACGTGATAGCACAAGGTGGAAGCTGTGCGCCATGCGAAGCAATTCTCGCCACAGAGCCAGCCCAGAGTTCCGAAGGGGCGATTTTTGCCGTCCCCCGTGCTTCTCGTAGACTCTGGCCTCTGAGGCCCGTCCTCGGGCCCCGGGGCCATCAGGCGTTGATCCAGGACGAAAGGCCTCCTCTTACCAGCCTGGAACATATCCCTATCCCTATGCTGGGCATCTCCTCATCACGATGCCAATCTTAGGGATTGCCTTATTTTTTGAGGGCGCATCCCTAAAAATTGTCATCGCCTTTTGGCGTGTCAATCTTAGGGATAGGGATAAGGTCGAGGCTGGTAATCCTCCCCCGCCGGGGGAAGGGGTCGGGGCTTGCTGGGGACGCGTGTTGAACAAACACACACCGTCGGATGCCTGGTAGGGGTCTGGCCCTCGCTCCTCCTCCCCCTCCTTCGGCCGCCCTCCCCCCTGTTTCTATCTCTCTTGCGCTGAGGCACCATTCGCTACAAAAGATGCCCCGGTTTAGTTAGCTTTTCCGCCAGCGCACTTACTCTGCCTAGTCGCCGACGCAAGAAAAACACACGTTGTCGGAGGAGGTGGAGGAGGAGGAGGAGGCATGGGAGGAGGAGGGGGAGGAGGAGGAGGAGGGGGAGTAGGAGGAGGAGGATGAGGAGGAGGAGAAGGAGGAGGAGGAGGGAGGTAGAAGAGGAGGAGGGGAAAGGGAGACGGAGGAGGAGGAGGAGGAGGAGGAGGAGGAGGAGGAGGAGGAGGTGGAGGAGGAGGGAGGAGGAGGAGGAGGAGGAGGAGGAGGAGGAGGAGGAGGAGGAGGAGGAGGAGGAGAGGAGGAGGAGGGCAAGCAGGAGGAGGTAGGAGGAGAGGGGGGTGGAGAGGAGGAGGAGGAGGGAGGAGGAGGAGAGGAGGAGGAGGAGGAGGAGGAGGAGGAGGAGGAGGAGGAGGAGGGGGGAGGAGGAGGAGGAGGAGATTTGTGAGGGGGAGGAGGAGGTGGAGGAGGAGGAGGGAGGAGGAGGTGGAGGAGGAGGTGGAGGAGGGGGGGAGGCGGAGTTGTTGTACGAGAATGTGCAGTGCCCGCTTATTTCGTGACACGATCGTCCTGGCATTGGCCAGACAGCTCTTCGAGATCTCTCGAGGACTGTTCCCCGGCCTCGCGCGCGCACCACCGCCATCGTCAGGAGCATGGTGCCGCCGCGCTCGATGCTGGTTGCCTCCCGCCGTATGGCCTGCGGTCCCGCGGAGGCGTGCGAGGCCAGGGAGGGAGCTGCTCTTCTCGCGCCGCGGGGTGGGTCTACGCGAGCGTTTTTTTGTTTTTCGCTCGAATGTGACGTTACCAAGAGGCGGAGGAGGACGAGGGTTTCTCCGAAGGGCTTAGGCGGACACTTCCTCCCTCCTCCTCCTCCCTCATCTCCTCCTCCTCATCCTCCTCCTCCTCTCCTCCCACCCTCCCCTCCCCTCCTCTCCTCCACCTATCCTCCTCATACGCCTCTTCCTCGCCTCCCTGCCTTTTCCTCCTCCTCGGGTCGCCTACGGCCCTGGGGAAACCGTGCATACTGGGGTGGGGAAAGGGGGGGGGACGCGGCCAGGGGCCGCAACGGCGCCCTTTCGCGAGAAGTGAAACAACTATTTCTAACGCATTCGCGCACGCGATGGGGGAGGAGGAGTATGAGAAGGAGGAGGAGAGGAGGAGGAGGAGGAGGAGGAGGAGGAGGAGGAGGAGGGAGGAGGAGGAGGAGGAGGAGGAGGGGGAGGGGGAGAGGAGGAGGAGGAGGAGGAGGAGGATGAGGAGGAGGAGGAGGGGGAGGAGGACGAGGAGGAGGCAGGGGGAGGGGGAGGGGGAGGAGGAGGAGGAGGGGGTTGAGGGAGGGAGGGAGGGAGGGAGGGAGGAGGGCGGGAGGGAGGGAGGGAGGGGAGGAAGGAGGTGGGGAGGAGGAGAGGAGGAGGAGGAGGAGGAGGAGGAGGAGGAGGAGGAGGCGGAGGAGATGGAGGAGAGGAGGAGAGGAGGAGGAGGAGGAGGAGGAGGAGGAGGAGAGGAGGAGGAGGAGGAGGAGGAGGGGAGGAGGAGGAGGAGGAGGAGGATGCGGAGGATGCGGAGGATGCGGAGGATGCGGAGGAGGAGGAGGATGAGGAGGAGGAGGAGGAGGAGGAGGAGGAGGAGGAGGAGGAGGAGGCGGAGGAGGAGGAGGAGGAGGAGGAGGAGGAGGAGGACGCAGGACGCAGCATAGAACGTGCAAGCAACGAATCGCAAGGACGCCAGAGCAAGAAGACACAAAATAATAACCCAGAGCGCGGAACTCGCGCGGGGAGCTTTGTGTGGATCACGGATGACTCGTGCTGCCCGTGGGCGAGCTGAGCGCGGAGGAGCAGTCACAGGAAAACGAGCAGCCCCAGTTGAGATGTCTCAACTTGCGCCAGCATGCAGCAGCTACGGACCCAGCTGGCCCCCGCAAGCCCTGCCGCCGCGCGAGTGCAGCATCGTAGCAGCAGGAAAGAGGTTGAGCTTGAGGTCCGTTCCAGCCCAGCTCCCCGTCTAGACTGGCGCAGGTCTGAAGCACACCCTCCTCGCCCGCAGTTTTCTTGTTTGTTGGTTGCTGTTTATGTTTTTGTGGTTGTTTGAAATCTGTTTTCCTCTCGGCAGTCCTCTTCTTCGGGGCCTCTTGGGCCCCCCTAGGTGGCCCGCTGGGGGCATGTCGGGGGTCTGGGGGCCGTTTTGGGCGCGATAGTTCTACTGAGCCCTCCTGAAGCGGCTCGGTTGAACCATCTTGACGAAGTTCAGGCGGGTCGTGCGGCCGTTTGCGGAGTCGGGTCCTGGTCCGATTGGGGGTTTTCGAGTCATCCTGAGCCCGTCTTGGGGCTTTTGGAGCTTTCTTAGGCTGTCGGGGCTTCGTGAGGCTGTGTAAAGGTTACCCAAGGCGGGCTTAAGTCGAAAAGCGTTGGAAGCGACACACTTTGTTCTTGGGTTGTTCAGTTTTTGTTTGTTTGTTTTATTTTTTTCTGATCTCTTGGCTTAGGGCCTTGCTGCAGTCCTCTTTGGGCGTTTTTTTGAGGCTTCATTGGGCCTCTTGGGGGGATTTTGG